AGGGTTTATTTAAAACAACGGAGACTAAGCAGTGAACACATAGGTGGAGTGACCTTTCCCATGGACCGATCCATAAGTGTCTGGCTGTGATCGCTGCCTGAGAGCCGCTCTTTTTGGCCGCGTCGTTTTCTCTCCAGTCTAAGTATGTTCTTAGGGGGTTCAAGTAATTTTAAGATCCTCCGGAGCGTCCTTTCTTACACTGATCTGGGTCCAGTTCTGCAGCGTGTCAGATAATGACAGACAGCAGGGTTTGCAGAACGACAGCTGATCCCGGTTCAGCGTGTGCGGCTCCTACCCAAAGCCCTTATGCCACCTGACATTTCAGTGCCAGAGGCCAGATGATGTGGTTCGCAGCAAGACAGGAAGCTTGGCGTACGATGACTCTGCGTCAGACAGACTGCTCTCAGCGAGACAGGAAGCTTTCTTCCCACAAGCAGTGAGTGTTCCGATCTGGAGTGGGCTGCTGTCCCAGCTCTCAGCCTCAAATCACTCACACACCAACAGAATAGTGCTCAATTTACTGTGATTTACCACTACAATATTCTCAAACCACTATGCAACAAAATACATATTACAATTACAGGTCAATACTACAAAGTTGAAAATTATTTTCATTTGTTATTAATATTTGCTACTATTTTTGTCAAAATAATTGAAAAATAAAACACTACAAATTCAAGTCACAACATTCTAAAGTATGAAAAAATGATTTAAAAAATAATTAAGATTAATTTAAACAAATAACAATAAAAGTATTTAAACAAAAATTAGGAAAATGAGATCCTAATACAAATAAATATAAACATCTGTAATAATTTTGTCCAAAATGATACGGATACACTGTGCATCCTTAATAAAACTCCTTGTCAATGAATAATAAATGTAATGTAGTAAAAAAAAATTATATTGATCAACTACTTAGTGCAAACAAATAAAAAAAATCCTTGAATAATAAATTTACATTGAAAAAATTTTTTTTTAATTAATTTAGAAAATGGGGAAACTGTAAATTAAGCATGCACAATTAAATATCCAACATAAATAAATAATACAAGATTTATTTAGAAAAAGGGGGAAAACTGTAAAATGCACAAATATAAAAATTTTTTTTTAAAAATGTGTAATATCGGCCATTATGGTACGGATATATTTTGTATTTTTATTCCCTAATAAAAAACATGTCAATGAATAATAAATTGTCAGTTGTTTATATTGTTAAGCCATTCAAAACAGCAAAAAAAGAAAAATAATTTAAAAATAAAAATATACATAAAAAAATAAAAGGAACAAGAGCTTAACATTTTGCCCATTTGTGATGATCACTGGGTAATTTGGGCGGTCCGTGGTCAACAGAGTGTGTTTTGTGCAGGTAGGCAGGTGCTGATGCACGATAAGTCCTGTTAAGCTTCTCTCACGCTTTGGACCAATTTATCATTCTTCAGTCCCTGAGCTCCACGCGCCTCCACAACTCACTGTTACACTTGGCCCGATGCCACCGCAGATCCATCAGCCGACACTCTGACACACCTCGCTGTCTGCCTGGAGCGGATGACATCACAGCTGGGACACTAGCTCATTTTTCAGGAGTGGAAAGTGTCCTTCTGTGTCGATAAACTTCATCCAGGGGTAACGCAGAGGAACGGCTCACATTCATAAATACAGAATGAACATGAGGCAACAACCCTTGGAGACAAGGGGGACATAGAGTCGATGACTGAATGCCACAGATGAGAAGTCAGAAGTGAAATAAGCGTCAGATGCCTTCAAGCAACAATAAACGCTCTGTTGGACTCTATCTGGCAGCATATGACACAATCATGTCTGTCTCTCTCAACTGGGCCAGAACCTGCAGCGCACAGGAAAGGATACAGAGAGTGGAGTCTAAAACTGGGCCGAACACTAGTCACGACAGCCACTGGCAGCACACTCAGTCCAAGTCTGGACAGGGTCAGCTGACAGCTACACACACAGGCAGACGGGGGGGGAAAAACACACACTCACAGTGGGTCCCCTTCTCAGTCTCACATGCATAAAATATTAACAAGCAATTAATAGGGCCCGGATAATAGGATGTTAATCGCTTTGGACGTCGTTGACATTACTAAGAAGCCATTTCACAATCTTCTCGTTACACAGATTACGATCGTTTTCGATCTTTTTGGAGCTCTAAAGTGACATCTGTAAGTAAATATCAAAGCCTCAAATGAACAAATGTGATTTAAAATGGGTGTCTGCAAGAAAATGACTATCCATCACGCTCAAGTCCAAGTAACTCAAGACAAGAAACCCAAATATAACTACTGCACATTAAATTAATACATTACTAAATCTGACAGAAAAACTATGGTGAGTTAGGGAATAAATTAATAGAATATTTTTCATTTTAGTACCGGAAAACTTGATTCTGATGAGTCGTTTTTGTATATTTGAAAGCTAAACTTGTTATTTCCCTGGAGTTCATGGCAACATACCGATGCTACTTTCATTTTCTGACTCAACACAGCTACTATGACTAAACTATGGATAAAAATGACATTAATTTATAAATAAATTTAAAAAGTCCTAAGTTGTTCTTGTTATCAGATGTGCAATGCATTATTCTTCTTAGAAGAAACTTTAAGCTAACCTACAAGTAAAATATTAACAATTTTATCTTCTTTTATGTCCAAGTATTAATTTAGTAAGTAGCCAGTAGTACAGTTAGTTATCACTGCCACATAAACCCCTTCGTAATAATACAAGACCACTCGGTTATTAACCTACAGGAGGAAAAAAAACATATAATAATAAATAAATAAATTGGATTAAAAGTATAAAGTGCAAATCCATCAAAATCAATAAATAAAGAAATATTTATAAAAAAAATATTTGAGCATTAACAATTTCTTTAAAAATATAGATTTTTTATAATAATGTTTAACATATAACAACAAAATTTGATAATTAGCTGATGATGGCAGAAAAAAAAGAAGAATGCTCGCGCTGTCTGGCCCAAAATGAGCCCGATCACGTCTGGATGAAGAACTGGGTTACATTCAGGGTCCAGTTAAAGCAACCGGCTGCAGGCTCCGTTAACGCACGACCAGTTCTTTCTCATTTTGCCTCCGACAAATGATCTGATTTATCTAAGAATATGAATATGTCAGTCTATAATCTTAACTTGTGCAACGGCTCGACCATCGGCTAGCAGTTGTCGGTCTGATATGAAGTCGGAGGGTCCTAAGAACTTTTTTTTGCCCCAGACTAAACCCGCTGCGCTCCTCTCTCTATCTATCCGCGGGGCCACTGGCACAGCTGGTATCATTACGCACCCATCTGATGCCATTTGCACAAAAAACAGACATATACGAGGAGAATATCAGATCCTTACCTCTGCAAAGTGGAATGAGGAAATGCCACTGTGAGTCCGCGGAGAGCAGAAGCCTGAGCCGCGCTGGCTGGCGATCCGGCGGAGCTGACCTGGATTTCACCGCCAGACTCGACGGCGTAAAAATAATCAGGCGCACAGCGGCGAGTGAAGCCAGCGGCAGTCAGACACACTCACTGATGGAGGACAGACGAACAGCTTTTAAAATAAGAGACTCGACGCAAGCGCGCAACACGAGTCTTCAAAATAAGAGTTTCAGTTAGTAAAAAAAAAAAAACAGAAAAAGAGAGATTAGTTTTATGACTAATATTAGATTGTCAGTTTTTTGTTGTTGTAAGTTAAATTAAGATTTTTTGTAAATATGTTCTTCAAAATGCTTATATATGCATGATTGAGCGGATTGATTTCACAAAATCCACACCAAAATGGCCTGAAGATTATCTGCATTACAAACACTAGTCCCATGGTCTCTCTCATTATTCAGATCATTATATAAATTTGATACTGTAGCTTGAACAGCCAGCTTCTTTGGCAATGAATGTTTGTGGCTTACCCTCCTTGGGTGTCAATGATTGTCTTCTGGACAGATCAGCAGTCTTCCCCATGATTGTGTAGCCTAGTGAACCAAACTGAGAGACCATTTTGAAGGCTCAGGAAACCTTTGCAGGTGTTTTGAGTTGATTAGCTGATTGGCATGTCACCATATTCTAATTTGTCGAGATAGTGAATTGGTGGGTTTTTGTTAAATGTGAGCCAAAATCATCACAATAAAAAGAACCAAAGACTTAAACTACTTCAGTCTGTGTGCACTGAATTTATTTAATACACGAGTTTCACAATTTGAGTTGAATTACTGAAATAAACTTTTCCATGACATTCTAATTTATTGAGATGCACCTGTATATATATATGTATATATGATAGATAGATAAATAGATAGATGGACAGACAGAACAGTGAAATTGTTTTCTAAGACGTGTTGACATATTTTCTATTGAAACATGAAGTCAACTGTAGAGATCTATAGACTGTTGGATATATATATATATATATATATATATATATATTCTTTCGGAACATGCTTCACAACTCCTTGTTCAAGCTCTTGTTCTGTCCAGGCCGGACTATTGCAATGCTCTCTTGGCAGGTCTTCCAGCCACTTCTATCAAACCTTTACAATTAATCCTAAACGTGGCAGCAAGATTAATTTTTAATGAGCCAAAAAGAATGCATGTCACACCTCTGTTTATCAGTTTGCACTGGCTACCAATAGCTGCCTTTTAGACTTGCACTCTATTCATTTACTAACTGCTTGTTTTCTTAAAAAAAAAACTAACACTAGCTTCTCTATTCTTGTTGCATTCTATCTATTTCTTTTCTTTTTATTTATTATACAATTAGCAAAAGCAAAAAAGGCCTCTAACACTAGCTTGCTCTATTCTTTTTCTATTCTATCGGTTTTCTTTTTATTTATTATATTAATAGTAAATGTATATATATATATATATTTCATAATATATAATAATATAACTAATCTGTTGATCATTCCTATGTATAATCATAATATCTTCTTTACATTTTCTTTTCAAACCAGGAAACATGAGGACTCCAACACTCATTTTTTTATTCAGTCATAGCTTTATTTTACCTCTAGGTGGCACAAGGCCCAAATATACAACGCTGTCCCTCTTAGTCCTAGGGAGAAGCGTGGGAGTCCGCAAAGCAAACCCAGAGTTTTTGAATCCAGTCTCAACTCAAGTTCTACTGTGCAAAAGGGTCTCAACTTCTATGATTCTAGAGCCAGAACCCAAGCCGAGGGGGATCTAGGTTTGTGTGGAGCTTGGGCTTGTCAATGAAACACAGACATATTAGATACAGTGTAAGAGTGTCTCTTTTCCTCCAGAGACGTTTAAAGCTCATAGCGGAGGTCAGAATCTCCCTCTCAGCGTCCAGTCATTGGCTCACTATGTTCTCCAAGAGATCCAGTCGTGATGAGTCTGGTCCGGTCCAGCTCATCCGTTAAATAAATCCAGAGCCCTCCTCATGGCGCCCATGGTCTACCGTGCAGCATAAATGTGAGGGTCAGTGAGTAGTGAAGGGGCCCATGAGACTCCATTAGTGTACAAGTCTGTGCTCGTGTGTTTTTCCAGGGCGTCACGTGCGTCGTCGTGTCCTCTAGCAGGGGCTACTGCGGTCGTGCCTGGCCCAACATCTTCAGCCTGGCCTGGTCAATCACATCCAGCAGGTTCTTGGCATCTACTGCGAGTGCGTGTGCAGCTGTTAGCATCTGTTTCTTATAGTCCTGCTGCAGGCTGGTCATGACGTACTGCTGGGCCAACTTCATCTTATTGATCAGCTCAGCCAGGTCTGAATTTAGAAGCTTTTGAGCCATTTCGATCTGAAGAGGAAGAACAAGAGTAACAGTTAGTCGAGCTGGCAGGAAGGACGTTGGGAATGAGAGTATTTAGTGTTAGTCTGTGAATGCGTTTACCTCTCTGTGTGTGTGAGCCGGTAGTAAAGGTATCGTCTCATCCACAGTGGCCAGCAGTGTTCTCAGTGCTAATCCCACTTCCTGAAACAAACATTTTCATGATGGGAATGTCGAAATTATAACAATGATATGATGGAAAGCAAGCTTACAGTACTGTCATTATGTACTCTTTATTTACCCACAAGCTTAATGCAATTACAGTTTATGGTGACCACAGGATGCCGAGCTCCAAAAAGGACAAAATAAAACCATAAAACTAACATAAAAGTGGTCCATATGAAGTCTTTTAAAGTCATATGACAGCTTTGAGATAACAAAAGGCTGAAAATTAAGTTATTATTCACTTATAATCTTAACCTCCACTGGGGCTCTCAAATCAAACATTGGTTTTTGTGATGTTTAGCTATAAGTGTTATACTATTTATATAATATAATAGCATTTATTAATATTTTGAATAAACTTTTATTTTTATATTTGGAGTTTTTATTTAGATTTTTACGCTTTAGTAATTTTGCTATGTGCTTGATTATTAGTATTTTTTTATTTAATTAATTAATTAATTAATTTACATACATACACGCATATTTCTATTTAGCTTTTTCTTTCTTTTTTTTTTTAAAGGGATGCCGGCTCCTGTCTGTCGTTGTACTTTCCTGAACATACGGTGAAGACTGACACGGAAGAGAATAAATTGTTGAAGAAAGTGTTTATTTTTTATTTCTTTGCGCAAAAAAGTACTCTCATAGCTTCATAAAATTAGGGTTGAACCACTGATGTCACATGGACTATTTTAACGATGTCCTTGCTATCTTTCTGGGCCTTGAACGTGTCAGTTGCGTTGCGGTCTATGCAGGGTCAGAAAGCTCTCAGATGTCATCAAAAATATAAAAAGGAAGCAATTTTATGTATAGAGGGTATATGTATTTTAGTCTAAAGCAAGTTAAAAAGTTCTTAATGATGGATTTGTTTATTACAAACATAAAGCTTTTTGCTTCACCAGACATGAATTGATGGACTGGTGTCGTGTGGATTATAGTGATGTTTTTATCAGCTTTTTGGACTCTCATTCTGACGGCACCCATTCACTACAGAGGATCCATTGGTGAGCAAGTGATGTAATGCTAAATTTCTTCAAATATGTTCAGATGAAGAAACAAATTTATTGTGGGTGTTCCAGGGAAATTATACCAGTATACAGGTTTAAAAAACTTGAGGGTAAGTAATAATGACATAAATGTTCATGTTTGGGTGAATTATCCCTTTAAGATCATCTCTCTGGTGAACAAAAGGCATGTTGTTCAGCAACCTGCAGAATGGATATATATTTCTCAGTTTGTGTCATACCTTCACCATGGGCACGTATTCTTCAGGGGGAGCTGGCTGGATTTTACTGGACATCTCAATCACAGCCTTTACCAACCCAGTCACATTTTCATAGACCTTGTCGTTGGAGCGATCTAAGTTAGCTGTTGGGGGCGGGTTGATCTCTTGAGGCTGAATCTAAAGACAAACACAAAGTAACAAACTTTAAAATACTGCATTACTGAAGATTATTCAATTCTAAGTATGAGCATATAATGTTGCTATGTATATAAACAAGGGATATAGGATGAAGGTTGTGTTACTGATTCCATGTTACAGGACATAAGTGCTAATGAAATGAAGAGGTCTGTGTTATGGTACAAATTTCATGTTTGACACTAGATGACAGCACAAGCAACTACTGGAGACCCATCACCGCCTACAATACCCAGCTGATTAGAAATCCATCTGTGCACCCTTGATTTTAATATAAAACATGATATGATTACAAAACGATGTAGTTCCCCCATGTTAAATATAAAAAGAGATCAAGGAAATATTTCAGTGTAGATTTTAAACAATATACTGTACTGCGTCCATCCAAGCAGAATGATCCAAAGCCTCCACTAGATTGCGCTACAAGCACATTAGCTAAAATCACAGCTGATATAAAAAGCAAAAGACAAGGAGAGTGACAAGATCTATACAGCCCATGTAATTCAGTTTAGTAGATAATTAAGTTATGATTCTAAATGATAAGGTTGAGTAATGACATAGTAACCGGTTAAAAAAAAGGGGCACAAACACAGACAGAAACATAACACTGAGTCTACAGGTGGTCTTACCCTCCAGGGCTACCAGTGCAAAAACAGTGCAACAGAGGAAGGGCAGAGGCACAGAGCAAGAGAACAGTGTGCAGAGAGAGAGAGAGAGAAAAAGAAAGAGATTAATAAATATAACTTTACATATACATGCTGCAAAGAAAGAAAAAAAGTCAAATATATTTTTTAATCCAACCCCATGAAAATGTCGCCAGAGTTTAGTTCTGTGAAATTATGTAACTAAATTTACATGTAAAGACCTGATGAAATCAAAATTACAGTTTTGTGCCTTAGTTTTGTACTCCTAAATGTTATCTGAAGCAAACTTCTTTCTCTTTGGTTAAACATACTGAAAATCATCTTCTACTGCAGATTTTTTGTCCAATCAAATGGTTTCCACAATGAGAACGTCCCGGACTAGCCATCAATACTGTGACACAATTTACATTTTTATTTTACATTTTTTTAAATTCCCTAACCAAACAGAAAATACAACCCAAAATCAGCACTAGAAAGAAAACCACACTCGTCGAGCATTATTATGGGACCTTAAATGTTTTCTACTGACCAAACACGCCTACAGGTAAAACTCCTAAAAACTATAAAGTTGCAAAGCAGACCACAATTACATGTGCATTGTTCCTAATTCTATTTTCCATTCTGCACTGCATTTCTGCTGTTGCTTGCGAGACCCCCTGCACGCTGATCCACAGCATCAGGAAAATGCGCTGGAATGGAAACTGTCGGCTTCTTGGTGTGCAGGGATCTTTTTATGAGAGACCCTGCAGAGCAATTGTGTGCTTGTGTATGAAAGGGGTTTCAGGAATGAGGATGATTTTAATGAGGCTTGGCAGACAGCATCTGTTGGCATGCTAGCTGCTCCTGAAGGCGACCCGTAAGTACAGATGCTAATCTTACCAGCCTCGCTATGTGTGTGTGTTTGGTGCTATTTCAAACTTTGTGTGGTTTAAAAACAGCAGCAGTGATTATTGTAAAGTCACACATGCACAATATTCATCTGAAGCTGTAAAAGAGTTAGTATGCCATGCGGTATTTCTGGTACCTTCACGCCTTCATTGTAGCTGTCTATAGGGTTGAGGCCGGAGACTCCTGCTGGGTGGCTGGGAGCTCCGGGCCGAGGAGGCTTTTTAGGAGGAGCTGCGTGTTCTGAGGACGACAGGAACGAGTCTGTAACTCAATCTGCATTTTTATGTAAGTTACACATTGCATGCAAAAAATACCCTCAAGCCACTGTTTTCAACAGTGATAGAGAGAAAAATTTCTTGATCACTAAATTAGCATATTAGAATGATTTTTGAAGGATCATGTGGCACTGAAGACTGCTGAAAATTCAGCTTTGCCATAAGAGGAATAAATTACATTTTATAATATATTAAAATAGAAAACAATCATTTTAAATTGTAATACTATTTCAAAATATTACTGTTTCTACTGTATTCTTGATCAAATAAATGCAGCCTTGGTGACCATTAAAGACTTCTTTCAAAAACATTTAAAAAAATCGTACTTCATAACTTGAAATTACATATTACATTAAACAGACCTGGCATAACTCACCTGCTTTCCCTATAGGTTGGTAGATGTGTTGATTTCCAGTCTGCAAAAAAAAAAAAAACAGTTTAAAATATGCAGGAGTCAAGACAGACTGTGCCATGTGTGTTGTTGTGGTCTGGGCGGGGAGCAGCCTGGATGCCTGGCATGCCAACCCACACCCACACCCACTCTCTCTCTCACACACACACACACACACACACACACACACACACACACACATCTGCTAAGACCACAGTGAATCAAAGAGGACAGCCCAATGGGACAGGATAGACATTCAAAACCACTGCAGCAGACAAACAAGCTCTACAGAGCAGCTGTGGAGTTCTGTGCAATTCCAGATCATGACAAGCATGAAATGCATTAAAAAACTAGCAAACATCTGTAGTTGTTCTATGTTAACATTAGAAGTGGGAAGGCAGAGCAGATTGGGTTTCTTGAGAGTCCACTGCTGCTTGGCTCCTCACAAAAGGGCCCTTGTCCTTGGTTCTCATTTATCCTGCTGATTTTAGATAGATATCCAGCTATGATAGACATTTCAGTACCTTAAAGCTAATAAAAACACACCATGGCAAACTAAATGCACATGAACTTAGTTCACTAAAGAGATGACATGCTGAGATCTATCAGTGGAGTCCAAAAGTCTGAGATCACTAATAAAAATGGTTCTATTTTGCATTTCAAATGATCATATTATCACTTTAAAACTTTCAGAATGTCTCAGTATTTGGTTTGTGCCGTTTTTTGCTTTAATGACAGCAATTCTTGAGCTGCATGAACTCCACAAGTTTGTCAAACCTGACGATCATGTTTTGAGAATGAGTCAAAGAGCATCTTGTGCTTCAATGAAAGCAATAATATCTGACCGTCTGTACATAGAGTCACATGATCAATATCACAAATTTTACTTTTTTGGTCAAAGACTTACAGTACGGAACTTTTAATTTACATCATAATTATCTTTTTTGTAAGCTTTAAAACTGTAAAATAAAATTCAGATTTTTGAAATGAGATTTTCCAGAATTTCAGTGTGCTCTGATTTTTAGAACTCCATTGTAACTATACAAGAGCACACACAATCTCACAGTTGTACAACATAGAGTTCTACAATCTTTTAGTCTTTCACCAAAAAACTATTTAAGTGGAATTCCTGTGCATGTACAGAATTCCCCCACAGCGAGTGTGAGGTGACGCCCATATACAATATAATTTACTGCAGATGTCCATGAGTGGGGAACACTATATTTAACATGACCTGATCAGATGATTAACTCTCTCTCACACACACACACACACACACACACACACACACACACACACTTGCTTGAGAGACAGTCACTATGAATAGTTGTTGTACAGAAAGAGTTGAGTAAAAATCCTTCCTTTTCTCTCTTTTTTTTAATTCAGACATGAAAAAAATCTAATGAGTCTGGAACAATGTGAGGATGAGTAAATAATTACAGAATAGACCCTTTTCACAAGACTGTGAAGACGCGTTTAACAGTCATCAGCATCGGAAATCCTCGAAAGTTTTTCATATTTGTATTTTTTTTTTTTAAATGTATCTACATTTATAACACTATTCTTTGTATTATATCACATTTGCATCAAATTACAAAAAAACATTTAATGCTAATGTGAGGGTGTTTCTAATGCAGTGTCTATGGGAGGGACGGTAAATTTGACATCTTTTTCCCTTCTGACTGCTGTTATCAGTCTCTCTCAATTTTTTTCCTTTTATTGAAAGTCATGAAAACACTATCGTGGAGTTTTTCTTTTGCTATTTGAGCAACTGGGAATGCAAAAAATATATTTGTGGTGCGCTCCCATTCACTGCTTTTCTAGTTTACCCAACTATGACGACTTCCGCTGCTGAGAAACCCGGAAATGTGAAAAAGGTCCATTGTAATTTTTGGGTGAATTATTCCTTTAATCTTAAAACACTTATGTTTCTTAAGATTTACACAACCATTTAAAAGTTGGGAGCCAGATTTTTAAAAAATGTTTTTAAAAGAAGAAGTCTCTAATTCTTACCAAGGCTAATTTATTTGATCAAAAATACAGTAAAAACTGTAATATTGTGAAATATTACCACAATTTAAAAACTGTTTTAATATATTTTAGAATGTAATTTATTCATGTGATGGCAAAGCTGAATTTTCAGCAGCCTTTACTCCAGTCTTCAGTGACACATGATCCTTGAGAAATCATTTTAATATGCTGGTTTGGTGCTCAACAAACATTTATTATTTTGATCAGTGTTGAAAACAGTTAATATTATTGTGCAAACTGTTATAAATTTCTAGATTCTTTAATAAAAAGTTTAAAAAGAACAGCTTTTGTTTTGCAACAATGTAATTGTTTACTGTTACTTTTGATAAATTTAATGCATCATAGCTGAAAAAAATTATTAATTTATTCTAAAAAAAAAAAAAATCTTACTGACCCCAAACTTTCAAACGGTAGTGTATTTCAACAAAAAGAAAGAAAATGAAGAGAAACTCACTAGTCCCTGAAGGCTTCCATCATCACGGTCAATGCTACCTCTGGAACTTCTCCCATCAGGCTTCTGCCACACACACACACACACACACACACACACAGTGGAAAAAAGAAGGTCAAATCTGACACCTCATTCGACAAATCAATGTCTGTTGCATCTATTGTGCTAATTCGCACCCCAGCCTGACCTTGAGCGACCCTACAAGACTACAGCTAAAAGCAATTTGCATTTCGACAATGAAAATTATAATACTGCAGGACACAGTAGCAGCCAATCAGAACACATTTGATATTTAAATGCCACAAAAAGTAGGAAAAGTGGTCAACACTTTCTCACACGGTAAATCATTTCATTCTCACATGGTCAGGCATATTTATTGCTCACAAAACTTTACACACTTACTAATGTCTGTTCCTACTCCTTGAAACGACAACGATAAACCAGAAATAAATCAACTGAATATAAACCATGGAATGTAAGTCCATGACAGTTCAAGATGCCACAAAGATGTACTTAAAATGGCACCCTCCCCTTCCCATTCTTCCGAGTTTACTCTACCAGTTTTCCGAAGCAGGATTTGAAGACCTGCATCTTCCCGTCTCTTCCTGTGAGCGTTTCCTTCTGGCGTTTTTTCAGCATGGAGCAGAGCACGGAGTGGATCTCCATTAAGCACGCTTGTGTGTGTGTGGAGTGACTCGTCTCTTGAATGTGAGACATATTAAACACACACTGACTCACTCAAAGCCGACGAGCCTCAACTCAGCGAAGCCAAGCCCTGTTCTGTTCTCCTCCTCCTCTCTCTCATTCCCTAGCTCAGTGTTTTCTCTCTTTCCCTCTCTTCCCCTCCCATTATCCCTCATGCACATTTGCGTATAATATCTGCAAAGAGATGAAAACTTCCTCTGATCAGTAATTTAACTTTCAGCAGATACAGGTCAGGCTGAGTTTATCCATCTCACGCCTCAGTGCCAACAAAACCCTTCATTACTGAGGAATTCCTGAAAACTGCACCTGTATCAAACGGCCAGGATCAAAAACTCATTCATCCACTCACAGCATCAAAAACACTTTAATAGGCATGCAAAAACTTTTAATCCGTACTGAACTTTTTGAAAAAGGTTACACCTTGGATGTTTGAGGTCATTTTTGACCAGGAAAAGTAAAACTATAGCTTTAGGTAATTAAAAAATATGAACCATTTACTGAAATGTTGCACCACTAACTTCCTAGAAGTAGTAACAATAAAATCATGCACTTTTTTGAGGATTTTAGATCTTACGTGGATCTTATTTATGTATAAAAAACAAAATGTAATCTGTCAAAAATGACAGAAAAGCTTATACGAGTTTTAAAGTATTAAAGGATTTGCTCAATTTGACCTTTAAACAATCTTTTTTTCCATACAATTGCTGTCAATCTCCGGAAAAAAAAAAATTGTCCGTACAAATCATGCACTATACTTTAATATTCACCGAGTTCTGAATCAGTCAAAGCATTCTTTTGAGCCAGTTCTTTTTAATAAACTGATTCACTAATTGGACCAAGTGATTTGTTTGCAAATCAAAATTGTTTGGTTCTTAAGCTTAAATGTACAGACTCAGTGATTCAGTCGATGTTGCACCACTAACTTCCTAGAAGTAGTAACAATAAAATCATGCACTTTTTTGAGGATTTTAGATCTTACGTGGATCTTATTTATGTATAAAAAACAAAATGTAATCTGTCAAAAATGACAGAAAAGCTTATACGAGTTTTAAAGTATTAAAGGATTTGCTCAATTTGACCTTTAAACAATCTTTTTTTCCATACAATTGCTGTCAATCTCCGGAAAAAAAAAAATTGTCCGTACAAATCATGCACTATACTTTAATATTCACCGAGTTCTGAATCAGTCAGATTCATGAACAAAGCATTCTTTTGAGCCAGTTCTTTTTAATAAACTGATTCACTAATTGGACCAAGTGATTTGTTTGCAAATCAAAATTGTTTGGTTCTTAAGCTTAAATGTACAGACTCAGTGATTCAGTCAGTGGAGGGAAAAATTATTAATGAATAAATATAATATTTAGGTCTGTTAATCACACAATTGCATTGGAATGAATTTAATAAAAGTCTACTTTTATGGCATTTGTTGTCACTTTTGTAGCTTGCAACACTGTGAACAGTCACTGTATGGAAAAGAGCAGCATGATTCTTCCAAATACCCTCTTTTGTGCTCCACAGACTAAAAACTGTTTACATGTTTAAAAAAACATCAGGATGAGCGAATCATTTTTGGATTAACTATTCCTATAAGAGCTGACATTTCGTTTCAACAGAAGTTGTTTGTGAGGAAAAGTAATAGTTTAAGCAGAAGAATGAATGTTGTTTGCTGTGGTAGAGCTCTGAATGCCCTTTTTAGTTGGTACAGGAAGCTGTGTGAGTTTTTTCTGTGAGACAGACTGAACATAATGACACAGTGAAGATACAAATGATGGAGACTGTAAGCCAAAACTTGGCATACCACAAACGCACACAAATATTCTCAGACACACTTATGTGCATAATAACATTCATATGTACACATATCACTGCAATAATAACACAGTCTCTCACAGAAGTGCAATGCCTTCTAATTCATATTCTTTCTGTAATTATTCAACAATGCTAATTATTTGCAATAAACATCCCAATGCCAAAGCTGATGTTGTGAAATTGTGAGGATCACTCACAACTGTTTACAAAAAAAAATGGAGCAGGAAACCACAATTGGTGGAAACACTTATTCTCAAACAAACATGAAAATGACTGTTTGGAATATCATATTGCTGCGGCTATAAATAAACATCACCATGATTCTCCACTAAAATGTTTTTAGGAAGAATTTAGAAACTATCACAACCACATAATACAGCTAAGCAGGGGGAAACAAAGATGAGCAGATGAATGTGAGGAAGAGATGGAAGAGGTGAAGGTGAGTGGGATCAGTACCAGTAGTCTCTCCTCCTGCTCCAACCAGCGCTGATCATCCTCCATCTGCTGCTGCTGCAGTAATAACTGCTCCTCCATCAGCTGAGACAGACCACCGCGCACAGCCACACCATCCTGAAACAAACACAATTTATCAACATATGCTAATATACATGATAAAAATGATAATACACTCCAGTCTTGTTACTGTAGATTGTGTTTAAGAACCACATCTGCTTGGTTTGAAAGTGACTTCTGTTTGAGTGGTGCTTCATGCATTGCTACACCTTTTTTTCTGAAAAACAGTGGGCAGTTTAACTGCTCGGGACAAACAAGGGACTCGTGAACAACTCATATATCACCTCAAAAAATAATAATACAATCATCCAGGTAATGACAGACTATAGAATACCCAAGACGTGTCACTCGTATAGTTTTGAATGGGGAAAAATGCAACGCTCAATAAGGCCGCTCAATCGCAGGAAGTCCCGCCTTCTGAATGAAAGAGCCAATCGCTAATCAGTAAAGTCAGCGCGTCACTGCAGCTGCCGTTAGAAGTCCCGGTTGCTATAGAAACAGTCAGCGTTCAGGACTGCGCATGCGCACTGGTTGATCTAGCCTGAATAATAAGCTTTTAATAATGCTATTTGAGCAAAATAAACAACATTTATGACACAGTTGATATCAGATTTCTTTGGTGATTTAAAATATGAAATTTGCTTAGTGAACAGTTTGGTAGAATTTGATGTTTCCCCATTCAAAGAGATAGGAGTTGCACTTGCATGCCCGAGAGGCGTTTCAAAGATGGCCGCCGAGTGACATGACTTGTCTTAAAGGGACTTTGGTAATGACAACAGGTAATGTTTAATGGAAAGTGTTTGACAAAGACATAAAAGCTTATAATTGTTTGTGTGTTGTTATCATAAGCACACTGTGTTTGTCTATACTTGTGAATCTGATGAAGATCAGATTATATTTTGTCAATTTAATGCCAACCAATTCACATACATTTCTTGCCTCTGTAATTATAAATAAACGAAAATGGAATCTAAAATAAGTTCATTAAAATTTCTTTAGTCTGTTACTGATTCCAAATTACATTACAAAAATTGTAGTTAGTAACGTAATCCATTACATTACACATTTAAGGTAATACAATCAGACTACTTGCTGATTACGTTTAGATTACTTTTGACCCAACTCATTTATCACATTGATTTAAGTAAGATAATTACAAAGAGTCAGAAAATTTATTCCATTCATTGTTATTAACAACATGAAGTGCATTAGATTTCGTAAGTTTTATGAAAAGCTAATAATTAATTTCATCATAAAAATGGATAATCTTAAAATACCATAAATCAAAATAAAACACTAACTAAAAAATTTAATATTTTATTTGTTTACCTGCATGTCATGTGACCATTAACCAATGTCATAGAACCGTGAACATGCAAATGTGATAATTATTCAAATTAATATTTTAAAATTTCAGGGGGTGCTTCAAGTAAATACATTATGTGAAAGAGCTTCATATGACCAAAAAGTTTGGGAATACCTGCATTGCAAGTAAATAAGAAATAACGTGAATTTGCGCATTTTAGTGGTGACCCCAAATAGTCGAAGATTCGATGCTTCAATAGGAGGAGCCTGATTCGACTACCAATCTCACAGTTGAATATTTGCGGGGTGTTTTGATCATGCCATTTTGGCTATATGGGGGTTTCTGATTTCACATAGAACTACTGGTTTTCTCCCAATAAGTGAATATACAGACTATTTAAATAATGCTGTAAATAAGAATCTGAAAAGAAAGAAGCTTCAAATAAATATTTTAACATGCGTGAATAAATCCAACCACCCCTATAGATTTAAGTTTCACTTTCCATAACCCGTGACCGACAGAGGAGCATCTTGGCGTCAGGAATTTAAATCTTTAACAAGACTCAAATTGACACAGGCAGAGTGAAAGACTGGATTTTTTCGATCAGGTAGGGTACAAGTGATTTCAAAACATTTCAGCCAGTTTATATATATCATGTATATATTATTTATCTCGTATAAGATGCATTTGGTTGAGTTGCGATGCAGTAAAGCGCTTCATTGTAGTGCTACGGTGATTATCTCTTCAGCGCGCAGCGCGAGCAGGTCAAACAACAATGCAGAATATTAATAACTATGACTGGGACTGTCATATACATAACAATTATAATGAGAACACTAATATAATAAAACCTAGTGAATTTTTTGAGTTTAATTGCTGTGTTTCTGCACGTTGTTGTGTGAAGAACGCGTCCACAAAAGGAGTTCATTCAGAACTGCGCAGACACGTTCATGTACATTCGGGGCATTTTGTGCAGATAGCCTATAAGTCATAATATTAACGTTATGTTGTATAAATAACAAAGTGTATTATATATGACATAAATGATGAGTTAAATCCCATTGATTAAAAACCTGCTGCTTCATTCTACTGATCATCTTCAACACGCGCAGCTCTAAACAAAAATGCAGAACATTAATAACTACAGTCATATACATAACGTTACAATGAGAGTACTATTGTAAAAAATGTTGTGAATTCTTAGGGGTTCGCACACGTTTAATGTTAACTATCTTTTAATCAAAACATAAAACATTATTTACCCCGTTTGTATCTTTGAGGTGTCCGTTACACATTTTCCCTGTGTGTTAACGTAATTATGACTGTCTAATGTCTGACTTGACTCTTGGTAATGAATTTTGCCCACCCCCAAAACATATGATTCGCCTATCAGTCGAATATCGGCAAGATTCGAAAATTCCGATCTGACTATGAAAATTCTTAGTCGGGGACACCCCTAGTGCATTTTAATGTGTTTGAAATAATGCTGTAAATAAGAATCTGAAAAGAAAGAAGCTTCAAATAAATATTTTAACGTGCGTGAATAAATTCAACCACCCCTATAGATTTAAGTTTCACTTTCCATAATCCGTGACTGACAGAGGAGCATCTTGGCGGCAGAGATTTAAAACTTTAACAAGACTCAAATTGACACACACAGAGTGAAAGACTGGATTTTTTCGATCAGGTAGGGTACAAGTGATTTCAAAACATTTCAGCCAGTTTATATATATCATGTATATATTATTTATCTCGTATAAGATGCATTTGGTTGAGTTGCGATGCAGTAAAGCGCTTCATTGTAGTGCTACGGTGATTATCTCTTCAGCGCGCAGCGCGAGCAGGTCAAACAACAATGCAGAATATTAATAACTATGACTGGGACTGTCATATACATAACAATTATAATGAGAACACTAATATAATAAAACCCAGTGAATTTTTAGAGTTTAATTGCTGTGTTTCTGCACGTTGTTGTGTGAAGAACGCGTCCACAAAAGGAGTTCATTCAGAACTGCGCAGACACGTTCATGTACATTCGGGGCATTTTGTGCAGATAGCCTATAAGTCATAATATTAACGTTATGTTGTATAAATAACAAAGTGTATTATATATGACATAAATGATGAGTTAAATCCCATTGATTAAAAACCTGCTGCTTCATTCTACTGATCATCTTCAACACACGCAGCTCTAAACAAAAATGCAGAACATTAATAACTACAGTCATATACATAACGTTACAATGAGAGTACTATTGTAAAAAATGTTGTGAATTCTTAGGGGTTCGCACACGTTTAATGTTAACTATCTTTTAATCAAAACATAAAACATTATTTACCCCGTTTGTATCTTTGAGGTGTCCGTTACACATTTTCCCTGTGTGTTAACGTAATTATGACTGTCTAATGTCTGACTTGACTCTTGGTAATGAATTTTGCCCACCCCCAAAACATATGATTCGCCTATCAGTCGAATATCGGCAAGATTCGAAAATTCCGATCTGACTATGAAAATTCTTAGTCGGGGACACCCCTAGTGCATTTTAATGTGTTTGAAAGACTAAAGCCTTCATGGTTTTTTTAAATACATGGTTAAATAGTCTACTGAGTGATAATTTAAATAAAAAGTAACGTGTTTATTAGTAGTTGATGCAATGTTAAGACACTTCTTTAACCTGAAACGAATTTTATATATTCAGTGGTCAAATGCTATGTAGCTACCTGACTAGTGACTGGTCTTTGTGTGAATGTGCACAAAACTGGACTTTCTGAGTGTATATAAGTGGCAGGTTAGTTTAGAAAGAAACATTTAAAATATGAAAAAGAGGAATTATGGAGAATCAATAAATTATAAATAATTTGCTGCTATTGTGTGAATTCGATGAACCATGCAATCAATACAAAAGTAATTGTGGTCTGATTACTTTAAAATGTCATTTAATCTTATTAATCAGTTACTACCCAGCTCTGCTTATTCATGAAGGACACACTTGGTGCAGCTTTAGACTTTGGCCAAAATTAGCTACCTTAAAAGGCCTCAAACATTTGTTATTAATGTTTAAAACGGTCTTCATTTGGAGCATCTCTGAGATGCCTAAAAATGCTGTTTATGTTGGCAGCTCATTCGGTTGTGAAACGGAGCTTAGATTTCATCATTCAGAAAACCTCCAGATTTCTAACCTCCATGCTGGGATTCCACATGTGATCCTGAGCAGCCCTGCGATGATTCCAGCTGTCTTGGGGATCAAGCCCAGTCCCTGCAGCCTGAGGAGGGTACATCCCACCTGGCACGGAAAGCAAGCCATGTGGGCCAGAGTGCCCTGCCATCTACATCATGCCGAAGACAAATATAAAGCAAACTTATAATCTTTATATACCACCTGCAATCCAACTAGTTGTCTGCTGCATCCTTAATGAATTTACCCATCTGTATTAGACTAATGCAAGCACTGTACCTGGTAATGATTGTGCTGGCCCATGTGCTGAGGACTAGGGTAGAACCCTTCACTGGATCGGGGACTTGGATAACCAGGTCGACTGGGCTGTAATTATACACACATGACTATGTCAAAATACTAGCACATTTTGACCAATCGGGTTAATGTTAGGAGATGCTGTTAAAATCAGTCCACCAGACGCACACAAAATTCTTGTGCATTTTGTGTGGATGAAGATTTCAGGCTGTTGAAGGGAAGAAATTAAAACAGTCGAACATAAAATGCAAGCAGTTAGTTAATGTTACCACAATGCACATGTTATTTCGGAAATGTTATCATAGTTTTACAGTACATGGGCGGGTATTTTAGATTAGAGGGAGGGGGTTGAAAAATGAATGCTGATATACAGGAGGTGGTCTTCATCCGATTGGTTGGGATAGTCTGTGCTCAGCTGTGGGCGGGAAAACAGCAGACGGACTGATCTACCTTATAAACACGTTCATAGAGAGAGTCGACTGACCACAGCTCCAGATGAGCAAAGGAGGAAAAAGAAGGAGAAAAGTAGGTGACAACATACAGCAACATACACTAAATGACAGATAAGGGTTAATACAGAGGGGGAAAACCCACATGAGCACTGGCATGAAAGTGATGGGAATTATTGTCACTATTGGAAGGACTGCCAAAAATCAAAACAAAAAGATGTTTATCACCAATCTGCTTCAAGAAACAATTTTCTTTTAAGAACGATGTTTTGGCAATGCGGATGTGGTTGTTTTGTCTGTGTTTCCGAAAATAAAGCATTCATTGATATTAAATTTGAGATTCACAAAACCACACGTCTATGGCAGGTTAATGCTTCATTTTAATACAGGTCTGGCACACAGTTTAGTTTACATGCACTGAAGAGGCAACATGCAGTTTTCCCATAGAGTTTTATCTGGAAGACTGTCTGAAGCTACTGTAGCAGTTTTCAGCTTGGTTTTAGCCTAAATCATCTTTGATCATGACTGAAATATTCTAAAATGGCTCTTAAATAATAACTACAAAGGCATCACAGTAATTGAGAGTAACAGAAAAGAGCAGTTGAGTCACTAAAATTACTTTACTGCATTAAAGTTTGATATAGGTCAGACTAAAGCAATAATTGTGTAAGTAAATGCTTTTTACGTGTTTTTTTTGCAAAGTTCGACTAACAGACCTACAGTAGATAATGTGATTGTAGTTCAGCTATGTCCAACATGTACTATTTATCCATTAATCTAACTCTACACTTCCTCCAGGGGTGACACGCCATGGGAATGTAATCCATATATTTCCAATAGAGTGCAAAAGTCAGGTTTTGGAAGTAAAAATCACATTCACTTTCTCTGTAGGGGAACTGATTTTTACCAAAAACCTATAAACCTCTGAAGACAGACCTATGAGCTACAAGGTTGTTAATTGATGGAATATACTTTTGTTTAAGGTATACATTATTTATTGCAATTAACAATTCAAATAATTGTAAAAAAAAAATAAAGCTGTTGAAAAACTACATTACCCATGATTCTGCAAAGAGAGCCGCCCACACCAATGAAACACATTGAATGATGTATTTAAATCTACTTAAATATTTGTAACTATACAACTATACAAAACATACGGTTTCTGAATACATAAGCAACATCTTTAAATCAATAGTTTTATAGTTCTCCATCATTTGTTTTATTTGATTGTCATTCGCAATGCCTCATGGGATTGTACAAGAGTTATTTCCCTCATAAAAGCCATTAAGGACAGTATTGTACAACTGTCGAATACTTTTTTTGGTAACATAACGATTCACCTCAAAGCAAAGTCTTTGTTTAAAATCCCTATGAGAAAAATCAATGGAAAAATTACTTTCAGAATTAAGCTGATGAAAAAGTGGGTGGGCACTGTTGTACTCTATTACACACTGTGTATACTTAGTCTGTTAATCTTGATAATATACAGTCAACATAACTCTAATACACTAAGCCTCTCTCATCTATACTGTTCTTTTAACTCTATAACATTTAATCTGCAGCTAAAAATGACACGCACCAATAAAATCACCTGTGCAAATGAAGAGGCTACAGTAAAACTCTTGAGATGCCCCGCTAACAGTCCTAGCACACCTGCCTGTGAGAATCTGTAGGGCACGTGGGTCAGGCTCAGCTGTTGCATGGAGGGATAGTAGGGGTCGAAGAAAGCAGGCTGGGTGGCACTGGGGGGGACAGAGGGAGTCCTTCTGGGCCCCTGAGGGAACAGCAGGGAGCAGTGCAGCGGTAACGGCTGAAGCAGAAGCGAGGTCTGAGTTTGCGGGAACGTATGCTGGGAATGTACGCTAAGCTGTTGTGTATTAGCATGAGTGTTTTGGTGTAGCATTTGCTGCATTTGTGGTGATTGGTTAGTGATGGTTTTATCGCATGGCCCCAGAGGAGAGGCAGGCGGCTTGGGCTGGCGGATGCGGTCTGAGTTTGCGGGAACGTATGCTGGGAATGTACGCTAAGCTGTTGTGTATTAGCATGAGTGTTTTGGTGTAGCATTTGCTGCATTTGTGGTGATTGGTTAGTGATGGTTTTATCGCATGGCCCCAGAGGAGAGGCAGGCGGCTTGGGCTGGCGGATGCAAAGGGAGATCTGGGAACCAAAGGGTTGCTGTGGAGGGCGAGAAGCAGCATCTGGCACACAGTTTAGTTTACATGCACTGAAGAGGCAACATGCAGTTTTCCCATAGAGTTTTATCTGGAAGACTGTCTGAAGCTACTGTAGCAGTTTTCAGCTTGGTTTTAGCCTAAATCATCTTTGATCATGACTGAAATATTCTAAAATGGCTCTTAAATAATAACTACAAAGGCATCACAGTAATTGAGAGTAACAGAAAAGAGCAGTTGAGTCACTAAAATTACTTTACTGCATTAAAGTTTGATATAGGTCAGACTAAAGCAATAATTGTGTAAGTAAATGCTTTTTACGTGTTTTTTTTGCAAAGTTCGACTAACAGACCTACAGTAGATAATGTGATTGTAGTTCAGCTATGTCCAACATGTACTATTTATCCATTAATCTAACTCTACACTTCCTCCAGGGGTGACACGCCATGGGAATGTAATCCATATATTTCCAATAGAGTGCAAAAGTCAGGTTTTGGAAGTAAAAATCACATTCACTTTCTCTGTAGGGGAACTGATTTTTACCAAAAACCTATAAACCTCTGAAGACAGACCTATGAGCTACAAGGTTGTTAATTGATGGAATATACTTTTGTTTAAGGTATACATTATTTATTGCAATTAACAATTCAAATAATTGTAAAAAAAAAATAAAGCTGTTGAAAAACTACATTACCCATGATTCTGCAAAGAGAGCCGCCCACACCAATGAAACACATTGAATGATGTATTTAAATCTACTTAAATATTTGTAACTATACAACTATACAAAACATACGGTTTCTGAATACATAAGCAACATCTTTAAATCAATAGTTTTATAGTTCTCCATCATTTGTTTTATTTGATTGTCATTCGCAATGCCTCATGGGATTGTACAAGAGTTATTTCCCTCATAAAAGCCATTAAGGACAGTATTGTACAACTGTCGAATACTTTTTTTGGTAACATAACGATTCACCTCAAAGCAAAGTCTTTGTTTAAAATCCCTATGAGAAAAATCAATGGAAAAATTACTTTCAGAATTAAGCTGATGAAAAAGTGGGTGGGCACTGTTGTACTCTATTACACACTGTGTATACTTAGTCTGTTAATCTTGATAATATACAGTCAACATAACTCTAATACACTAAGCCTCTCTCATCTATACTGTTCTTTTAACTCTATAACATTTAATCTGCAGCTAAAAATGACACGCACCAATAAAATCACCTGTGCAAATGAAGAGGCTACAGTAAAACTCTTGAGATGCCCCGCTAACAGTCCTAGCACACCTGCCTGTGAGAATCTGTAGGGCACGTGGGTCAGGCTCAGCTGTTGCATGGAGGGATAGTAGGGGTCGAAGAAAGCAGGCTGGGTGGCACTGGGGGGGACAGAGGGAGTCCTTCTGGGCCCCTGAGGGAACAGCAGGGAGCAGTGCAGCGGTAACGGCTGAAGCAGAAGCGAGGTCTGAGTTTGCGGGAACGTATGCTGGGAATGTACGCTAAGCTGTTGTGTATTAGCATGAGTGTTTTGGTGTAGCATTTGCTGCATTTGTGGTGATTGGTTAGTGATGGTTTTATCGCATGGCCCCAGAGGAGAGGCAGGCGGCTTGGGCTGGCGGATGCAAAGGGAGATCTGGGAACCAAAGGGTTGCTGTGGAGGGCGAGAAGCAGCAGATGCGGGCGCAGACAGACAGTCCATACTGAAGCTGTGCTGGATGGGGCGTCTGCGGGAGGGCTACACGTACACACACACACACAATGAAAGATGAGCTAAACAACACAAGTAAACACAGAAGGGATGACAAAGGCAGAAATTTAGTGAGGCACGACATGGATGGACGCAGTTTCATTCTGGTCATTAGCACAACGGCAGGTGTGACCAGTCGAACACAAAAACAGCCACCAGCACCTGGACAGAATGATTGGCAGGTCTGACAGGAAGCAGAGGGGGTTTGAAAGTAAGAGTAGGAGGTGCTTTAAGCAACACACAGAGCGAATGAAGAGATCAGCCTGGCCCATCAGTCACCACAATGTGAGCAACACAGGACAGGGAAGGATTTAAAACCCTGTCAAAAAGCAGGCAGACTAAAAATATCAATCACAAAAATAAAAACTACAATTCAAATGTTTGAGGATGGTAAGATTTTTTAATGTGAAAAATTTTATTTAATGTGAAAAAAGTATTTTATGCTCACCAAGGCAGCATTTATTTGATCAAAAATACAGCAAAAACAGTAATACTGTGAAATTTTATTTTAATTTCAAACAGTTTTCTATTATAATGTATTTAAAAAAAATTAAATGTACTTTTCAGCAGCCATTACTCCAGTATTCACTGTCACATGATCTTTCAGAAATAAGTTGAATATGCTAATTTGTTGTTCAAGAATAATTTCTTATGATCATTGTTAAAAAAAGTTGCTTAATATTTTGTGGAAACTTTTCAGGATTCTTTGATAAATAGAGTTAAATTTTTATTTAATATTTTTAAATAGAAACTATTTTAACTTTATAAATGCCTTTACTGTCACTTTAGATCAATTTTAATTTATCCTTTCTGAATAATTTATCAAATATTTTATATTATTTATTATAAATAGTTTATTTCAGATATTATAAATCATTTCTTTAAAAAAAATCTTTGAATGGTAGTGTTTTTCCTACTAAATAAGGAACTTGGGAAAAGACTCAGTGAGTCATCAATGTGTTTAAATTGTTTTCCTTGAAAAGAAAGACTACACATTTTAAAGGTGGGGTAAGCGATTTCTGGTAGCCAATGTTGATATTTGAAATCACCAAAACAAACACGCCCCTACCCCAAAAGGGTCTCGCCCCTATTTTGATAGCTCCACCCCACACATACAGACGCAACCCAGGCAACGATTAGTTCTGTGAAACAAAGCAAAACCAATGTTACACCGTGTCTACACCGGACGCGAGTGGCGTGGCGCGACAAAATACTATGGAACTCATTATAATCAGTGATTCGGTCTACACCATATAGATACTGTATATATACATATCTATGGTCTACACTGGATGCGCCGCGGCACGACACGACAAATCCCTGAGAGAAAACTGCTGCTGCGTTCTATTCATAACGTATTGACACAAATTTCAAATGATTTTCAACGGTCGCCTTGTCGCGTCCAGTGTACTAGACAGACTTTAGCTGTTGCGGCGCAGACACGGTGTTACTCACCTATCGAGAAGAAACAAAGCAACCTCGGCGTCCGATCGCAGGCCTTCCTCTCCTTGAGTTCTCTTCAGCACTGGAAAGCTGATCCGATATTTACACGGGTCCTACTTCTTGCCTTATTGCCTTAAGCCTTCTTTTGTTCCGCAGATGTTTTCCTCTTTTGTTTTTTATCCGCCATCTCTTTCTGTCGCTCGGCTCGCTAACGTCCGTCCTGTGCACTGAACGCTCTCTCCACCACATCATGAGTAAACACGCCCCTTACTGCTGATTGGCTACAAGTTTGTTTTGCTAGTCGGCCCGAATCAGTTTTCTAAAGCATTTTTGAAAAATCGCTTACCCCACCTTTAAATGCACATACATTTGCACATTTTTAAAAGGAGTTGTCAACTTTGAGGAGCACACTAGGACATACAGATCTCAAAGCTGGCACACATGGACTTCACAAAATTAAAGTCTTGATTTCATGGTTGTATTCATTTTCAGACAGAGCTTAAATCTTTCTTTAGCTTAACAGAAATATGGAAAGATTATGACGCATCTAATAATATTTATTGTCCCCGCAGCTTGTTCAAACAGACAAAGAGAGAAGTGAAGACAGAGAACCACATGGGAAGACGCATTTTTGCATATGGGAAGCATATGTAACACACAGTGGGGTCCAAAAGACACTGAACATCTGTGATTCAAAATCAAATTCAAATATGAAAAAATAAAAATATCTAGGTCACAAATCAAATAAGTAAATATAATAATATAATTAATAATGTATTAATTAATGTAGCTATATTCTTTGTATTAAATTAGGCAAACGGAAAATAGTAGAATTTGTCTTGGTGGTCTCAGTACTTCAGACCTCACCTTATATAATCATAACAAACGAGAAACTAGAATGCTGTTGTATCCAAGACACAGTGATGTTACGTGACAGAAGACGTGACCTGACACTGGAGAGCTGAGGTTATAAACAAAAAGAATGTCTGGAAAAGTGCTGGTTAACTATAAACACGCGCAATAATCAATTAATCACAACAGGAAATACATTTATAGCCTTTTTCTTTGATACAAAAAATGAATAAAAAATACTGCAGTCAAAGTTTCAGAGGGAAAATTACTCTAGTACTACTTTCACTTTCATTTAAAAACACACATACAGGCATACTACTACTCCTAACTAAACACCATGTGCTAGAGTGACAAATGGTGACACGCTGTTAACCTTCGTAATAAATCTGCTGTTCCAGATGAACTCAGGCTACCATAAATGTAAAAACATGAAAAACACATGAACAATTCAATGACTTAAAACTGATGTTCTTTTTGCTGTTACACATTGACAAGGACATCAGATTGTTTACTTACTTTGGGTGGTGCTTCGTCTGAGCCTCCTGAGTCCCAGGATACGGGGCCCTGTCTCCTCATCTCCATACGGCTGCGCTCCTCCTGCTGAGCCTTCTCCTCCGCAAGGATTGTACTGCACAAACAGCGATGGAAACCTCTGTCAAACAACAACATCTTTCTTCTAGAACTACAATTCCTAAATATGGATACTTGAGCTTGCAACCACTCTTACAGAGCGGGTAGTAAGAAACCTCTTCTATATAAATGTGAATGACAAATTTTCCCTCAATTTTTGCTTTAATTCTTATCAATGGGTGTGAGTTCAAGAGAATGACATTTCCAACTTTATGCAATTGGTTGAAAGGTGGAGTCACTCTATCGTCACAGACGAGTCAGTGTAAGATCCCAACCCACACACGGTCGACTACCAGGGAAAAAAAAGCAACACATGCCTGAAACACTATTCAAACTATTTCACAATCAAATACGTCATGACAAGCTCGAAGAAGTCAGCGTGAATAAGAGGATGACGGGCATCTCATCACGTTAACATATTTAAACCATCAACTTCTGTCATGCTAGACTGTGTGAATAAAAAGAGCCATGTTGAAAACTAATATAAGGATTTACAAACTCTTCATGCATATTAAACTGCCTTAGGGTGAATATTCACATGCTCAATTTTTTTTTTTTTTTATTAATACTTTTATTCAGCAAGGATTGGTGTGAGTTCAAGAGAATGACATTTCCAACTTTATGCAATTGGTTGAAAGGTGGAGTCACTCTATCGTCACAGACGAGTCAGTGTAAGATCCCAACCCACACACGGTCGACTACCAGGGAAAAAAAAGCAACACATGCCTGAAACACTATTCAAACTATTTCACAATCAAATACGTCATGACAAGCTCGAAGAAGTCAGCGTGAATAAGAGGATGACGGGCATCTCATCACGTTAACATATTTAAACCATCAACTTCTGTCATGCTAGACTGTGTGAATAAAAAGAGCCATGTTGAAAACTAATATAAGGATTTACAAACTCTTCATGCATATTAAACTGCCTTAGGGTGAATATTCACATGCTCAATTTTTTATTTTTTTTTATTAATACTTTTATTCAGCAAGGATGCATTAAATTGATCAAATGTGACAGTAAAACATTTACAATGTTACATCCCGAAAAAAATACATCCCCGTTTACACAAAATATTAACAAGCACAACTGTTTTCAACTGTGATAAGTGTTGTTTCTTGATTACCAAATAAACACATTAGAATGATTTCTGAAGGATCATGCAACACTGAAGACTGGAGTAATGGCTGCTGAAAATTGAGCTTTGCCATGAAAGGAATTAAATTAAAATTACAAGAATAAAGAATACATTTTAAAATATACTAAAATAGAAAAGAGTTATTTAAATTTTTATATTTTTTTCCAACAATATTACAGTTTACTGTATTTCAGACTTCTTTCAAAAACATTTTGAAAAAACTGTTACCGACCCCAAACCTTTGAATGGTAGAGTGATCTCAGGGTGGGGTCTGCTCATGATAGACCCCAATATAGACACAATAAACTCCAGTAAATTCACAGCAATGGCTTTAGTGATCAAACAAAAGTCTTAACAGATGGAAATGTTAGTAATGACCTTAAAACTCACCAGACAGTCCTTAAAGTGTCGATATGTGAAGTTCGTACATGAAGTCTCGCGCTCAGAGGTGGCTACAGAAACGCAAGAGGTGCGAAGAAATGCTGGAGCATGTAAGTTTTAGGGGTGAGAGAATGCAAGCTGACTGAGAGAGGGACTATTTCTGGAAACTCTATTATCTCTGAGAGAGACCATGAGTGTGTGGATGGAGAGAGAGAGAGAGAGAGAGAGAGAGAGAGAGAGAGAGAGAGAGAGAGAGAGAGAGAGAGAGAGATGGAAGACAAACAAGAGGCACGTGTTGCGATCTACCTACACCGACTCTA